GGTGTTCAGCGGGGTGGGCGGATGAGTAAGGAGGGAAGTGGGGGAGGGAAGGGGAGGGGGTAGGGAGAGAAGCAAGAAAGGCGACGGGGGATGGAGGGAGGGAGGGAGGGAGGCGGAAGGAGGAAGCGTGATATCGCATTGGGAAAGGAAGGGAAAGAAGCAAGCATCCAGCACCCACCGTCTCCTCCGCCGTCCACGCCCCCGGCGGCTTCTCCTTCCCTCCCCCATCGCCGGTGAGTCCCGTCCAGGTGTAGCCCGGGCTATTAACATCAACGAAGGTAGGTTAGCGGGTGTTTGGGTTTGGGTTTGGAGTTTGAGAGAGGAGGGGAGAGATAGGGATGCATATGAAAGAGAAAGCAAGCGTCGAAGGGAGAGTCAGCCGCCCGCGCCATCCCCATCATCAGCGTCGGCGAGCGTCAGCCACCCGCACCCCTTCCTTCCTTTCCACCGCGACACTCGTATGCCAGTGACGCTCCCCATCGTGAGCTAGCTTTGCTGCCCCGACGGCGAGGTAGACGACGCGTCGACAAAGAGGACGAACGAGACGCAAACTGGCCCCCGACGCGCCGAAACGCAACGCACACTCCCGTAGGAGGCACACCGCGCACCCCCCCCGCCCAACCACATTGGGCGAGTCAGCCACTAGCTTGCGTGCGTGCGTGCGGGTCAGCCACCCCCCCTTCCTCCTTCCCTCCATCCTCCCTCTCTCCCTCCATTTCCGCTTCCCCCGCCATCTAGGACTAGGAATCCCGGCGTAGCACCTCCCGCGCCACGCGCCACCCGCCACCCGCCTTCCAGACATCGGGCACGAGCACGCTGCGCACGGACCACCCGCCGACGCACGCCACGCGCCACCGCTCGCTCCCTCCCTCCAACCGCACCGCACCGCACCGCACCGCAGCCCAGATGCTATCGCATAGCACTCGCCACCGCACACACACGAGCGAACAGACGCATGCAGCAGAAGCGTCGTCAGCCATTGGAGGTGCCGCCTCCTGCTCATCCTCCACGCTCCCACGCTCTGCTGCGCACGGACCACCCGCCGACGCACGACACGCGCCACCGCTCGCTCCCTCCCTCCAACCGCACCGCACCGCACCGCACCGCAGCCCAGCTGCTACTGCACAGCACTCGCCACCGCACACACACGCGCGAACAGAAGCGTCGTCAGCCACTAAAACGCGCGGCGCCGCCTCCTGCTCATCCTCCACGCTCCACGCCAGACTGCTCTACTCTCGCTCCCGTAGCGATGGACGACGACAGAGCCTCCCCGACGACGCGAGGCCGCCACACCGCCCGTGCGCCAGCCACTCCCCGCGACCACGACGCCAACCCACACGATATCCCAACCGCCCGCCTGAACCCGCACGAACGGGGAAGGAACAAGCGGCTGCCACCGCCATCGCCATCATCCATCATCCATCGCCGTCCCCGTCCCCGTCACCCGAGCCTCGCGCGTCTCCCCACCCCACCCCACCCTCCGCAGCCGACCGAAGCGAAACAAAAACCCCCCGCGGCCCCGGCCCCGGCCCCTTCACTCAAAACAACCACACGGGATGCCTTCCACATCATACCGGGAGGGCGCCAAAAACGAAACCCACTCCCCCCCCCCCAAAAAAAAACCAAAATAAAAATAATAATAAAAAAAACCCAAAAAAAACTCACACAAACAAATGCGCGCTCACCCCCCCATTCCCGCCTGCCCCAGACCGCGCGCGCAGCTCGTGCGCGAGGCCCTCGGTGAGCGACTTGACGGCGGCTTTGGAGGCGTTGTAGGCTGTGTTGCCGCTGTTGAGGAGGGGTATTAGATTTTTTTGTGGGAAGGGAGGAAGAGAAAGACGAGGAAAGAAGGAGGGAGGGGGAGGAGGGGGAGGAGGAAGAAGAGGGGAGGAAGGGAAAAGGAAAGGGAAGGGGAAGGAGGAAGACGAAAAATGGGGGGGCGGATAGATGGAGATGGACGCGGCAACGGGGAAGGGAAGCCGGAACGCGAAACGGAAGTATGGGAGAAGCGGGGAGCGAGGACGCGAGGTGAGAACGGGGGGAAGAGAAAAGAAGGGGGGGGGGGAGGGACAGCGAAACGGAGAGGCGAGGGAAGGGCGGGCGACGGCAGGGAAGCCGGAACGCGAAACGGGTGGCGGAAAGGGGCGGTATGTATGGGAAGCGAGGTGGGAGCGGGAGGAGGGGAGCGCGGGAGTGGGGACGGAGCATGGAAGGAGGCGAGGTAGGTGCGGGTGCGGGTGACAAGATTGGAGGAAGATCAAGATCGAACCCGGGATGCAGGATAGGGAGAGGGAGAGGGACGTAGCGAGGGAGCGTTAGAGGTGGAAGGCGGGCGGCGGGGGCGGAGGGAATCGAGGAAGGAGAATGGAGGAAGGAAAAGGAAAGGAGGAAGGGAGGGATGGACGCGGACGCGGACGCGGCGGGGGTGGAGGGAGTCGCAGAAGGAGGGGGCGAGGGACGGAACGACGCGGAAGTCGGGGGCGGTGGCGGTGGGGGTGGGTGGGTGGAGGGTGCAGGGAATCGAGGAGGTGGAGCGCGGACGTGCGGGTGGTGGGCGCGGGGAGGGACGCGTACTCCAGATCCGCGCGAACGCAGGGAAGTGGACGGAGCGGGAGGGGTGCAGGGTGTGGATGGGGGTGCTGGTGGGAGTGGGAGTGCGTGCGTGCGTGCGTGCGTACGACAAGCAAGGAAGGACGGGATAGAGTGCGGTGCGGAGATGCGGCGCGGAGGGGAGTGTGTATGATACGACGCAAGCGTGGGTGCGTGCGTGCGTGCGTGCGCAGGGAGAGAGTGGGGGGACGGGGACGCGCACGTACTCCGGATCCGGCGCGAAGGGGAGGAAAGAGGGCGCAGGGGAAGGGGAAGGGAGGGCGGATCGACGAGGGAGGCGGAAAGGAAACGGGTGGGAAGGGGGCGCGAGCCGGGGGGGTGATGTGTACTGGTGTGTACTGGTGTGAAGGAGGGAGGGAGGGAGGGAGCCGGACACGGACGGACGCGCAGAAACGTGGATCCGAAAACGAGGGGATGGGGAATCAAGAAGAATAGGGACTCGAGGAAGAGGACGAGGAAGAGGAATATGAGATGTATAGTAGATTAGATACGAAACGTCTTCTCGTAGGCAGGCAGGCAGAGGGACGGGATTGTCGTAGGAAGGAGGATTGGAATTGGGATCGAAATGATTGAAATTGGCATCGAATTGAAATTGGGAAGGACGAGAGAGACAAAAAAAAGAGAGCAAAAGAGCACGCACGGCGGGTTCGTGATCCCCTGCTTGCTCCCCGTGTTGATCACCATCGCGGGGTTTTCTTGGTGGAGCATTGCCTGTTTTTTTTGGGGGTTAGCGGGGGCGGGGGTAGGTAGAGGAGGGAGGTGAGAGAAAGAGGGGAGGGAGGAGACGTCGCCGTATTACACCCACACCGGCACCCGCACCCGCACCCACGCCCATACCAGCGAGGGACGGGCTGCGCACATACAGTACATACATACGCAGAGGAAGCCGTCAGCCACCCCGCGGAGACGCAGCCGCACAACTTCGTGGAGCGCGGGGAGGGTGGTGTGGGCTTCAGTCAGCCGCCTCTCACGCCAGCCACCCCGCGGAGACGCACACGGGCTGCGAGCGCGAGCCGCTCCCTCGTGCGCCCCCCCTCGCACCGAGGCCTGGTATGTAAGTACCCCGTCGAAGCGCGTCCGCCACCAAGCGAGGGCTAGCATGACAGGAGTGAGGCGTGAGCTCGATCGCTCGAGCAGACGCTGGGTGCTCGGCGCTGGGTGTCAGCCGCAGAGAACAACAGCGGCGCGTCAGCCACCCAGTGAAAGCCGTGCACCGAGCGGAGACGCAATCGGCAGCCGCACAACTTCGTGGAGCGCGGGGAGGGTGGTGTTGGGCGCTAGTGAGACGCCTCGCACGCCTCCGTTGCATAGATGAGACGCCAGCCGCCAACTTGCACCCGTGCGCAACACCGCGCAAGGCCGTAGCGTGGAGATACCCAAAGCCAACAACTCTGCCGCGAGTGACCACTGTAGCGATGCGTGCCCGGACGCGGTCAGCCACTCGGGAACAGACACGCCGCATACACAGCGACGCAGGACGCCCGTTATCGCGAGATCGAATCCGCCGATACGACAGAGCAGATAGCGAGGAAAGAGAGTACTCACGGGAACGAAAGTCTGCTGTACATTGACGACGCCAAACAGGTTAACATCGAACACGGCGTGCCACGACGCGAGTCCGTCCCAGGAGGTCCCTGCCATTCTTCCCATTCAACACATCGACATATAAAGAGAAACCAAGCAGCCCACCATCCGGCCCCCCAGGCGGCGCGCCAATCCCCGCATTATTGAGTAACACCCCCACCTCGCTCCACGCCTCGTACACCCGGTCCCGCAGCCTTTCCACCTGCGCCACCTCCCTTACGTCCGTCGGCACGACGAGCACGTTCCCCTTCCCCACCACCCCCTCCAGCTCCGCGCCGAGCGCACTCAAGGCGGTTTCGCGTTCGGGGACGTCCGCAAGCGCGATCTTCATGCCGAGGCGGGCGAAGGCGCGCGCGGCGGCGGCGCCGATGCCGGAGGCGGCGCCGGTGACGACGGCGACGCGGCCGGGGTGGAGGACGGGGTGCGCGGTGTGCTCGTCGGTGGGGTCTGTCGAGGGCGCGGGAGAGAAGGACGCCGACCCAGACAGAGCGGCGGCGTGGGACGGGGAGCGCCCCGGCGACGGGCCACGCGAGCGGGGGGAGCTTATCGGGAGCATGTAAACTTGAAGTTGAAAGTTTGGGGAAAGAGGGAATGCGACTGGGTGACATCATCGGATCGGCGTTGTTCGGCGTTCGTGATTCTCTCGCCATTCAGTGTTGACATGACACTTCCTGTCTGTGCGCCTACCATCCTCCCGCCAAATCTGCACTTCAGTTGAATGTGCGAGCATCTCCAAGTCGGAGGTGGAGCTCAGATCTCGCACTCCAGGACTCCAACCTCCTTCCCCTCCATTCAACTTCAACCATGGCCTGGTGGTATAGTGGTAACACACTCCCTGTATTTGCTTACCCCCCACCTTGAGTACAAAGGAGACACCCTCGTTCGATTCGGGGCCAGGCCACTAACCAAGTTAAATATGTGTTTTTTGTCCCTTAAAATATCACAACTCCTGTCCTACACTCAACCTCGAACTCAGGTATTAAGTGAGGACGGCCCAGTAGTGTACTGGTAACACATCCTCTTTCCTTGTGACAGCTACGAAGAAGTTTGGAGGAAGCACCCCGTTCGATTCGGGGCTGGGCCATTCCCAATGATCTGTGGTTTTTTTCTCCAGATATTTTTTCTGGACAACAGACTAACCTGAAGCTGGGGGGGGCAAGAAGAATGGCCCAGTAGTGTACTGGTAACACCTCCTCTCCTTCTTACACAGAACCCTGATGTTGGTGGGGGAAAGATTCGGGGCTGGGCCATCTCGATTATTTCGATATCTTTTTTTTCTCTCCATCTTTCTGGCATAAAATGACAGACTGATTTATCTAAATCGAAGAATGGCCCTCTTTCCTTGAATGACCAATTGCAAGTCAGAGGAAGATCCCTGTTCGACTCAGGGTTAGGTCATTTATTTTCCTTTTCGTGCTCAGAAATGGATATTCAAACCCTGTGTTGACCTTGGAGTGAAGCAATTGGGGATGGCCCAGTAGTGTATTGGTAACACATCCTCCCTCTGTCAACACATCTCTTTGACAAAGTCTGAGGAAGCACCCTGTTTGATTCGGGGCTGGGCCATAAGATATCAGCCAGACTCTTTTTTCCTCAAGTATATATCTGTACTTTATTCTCACTAGATAGACTCAACCTCGGACTCTGGAGTTAGAGAGGAAGCCCAGTGGTGTACTGGTAACACATCCTCTTCATTTGATCAACAGAAGTCCAAGTCGGAGGAAGACCCCTGTTCAATTCGGGGCTGGGCCATATGTTTGTACTGCACCCTTTTTTTCTTATGACACAACTTCTGTACTTTATTCTCGTACTTTTAGTAGACTCAACTTCAGGCTATGGAGTTAGAAAGGAAGGCCTAGTGGTGTACTGGTAACACATCCTCTCCTTCTCAGAAAGTACCCTGACATTGGTTGAGGAGGCATCCTGTTCAATTCAGGGCTGGGCCATATGGTTTGAATTCAAACAGTTTTTTTTTTGCCCCTGAAATAGCACACAACTCCTCTACTTAGACTCGACTCTGAGCTCAAGTATTAAGAGAGGAAGGCCCAGTGATGTAGTGCCAGTAATACATCCTCTTGATTTATTACATATTTCTAGAAACTCCTTCAAGCACCCTGTTTGATTCGGGGCTGGGCCATACTTTTCTCCTTTCTTTTTCTCTTCAGCTCCGGACTCTGGCATTGAGGAAGGATGGCCTGGTGGTGTACTGATAACACATCCTCTTCCTTTCCAAAATAATATGACAGGTCAGAGGAAGCACACCGTTCAATTTGGGGCTGGGCCATACATATTCCATCAAATGTTTTTTCTCTTTTCTTGGTGCTCAAAATAAATAACCCTCTCAGCTCCCAGTGAAGAATATGGAGGAAGGCCCAGTGGTGTAGTGGTAACATATCCTTGTCTAATGAAAAATTCCCATCTTAGTGGAGGAAGTACCCTGTTCGATTCCGGGCTGGGCCATTTGTTTTTCCTTTTAGTGCTGGATAATGATCGTCTTGTCCATGGAGTGAAGATGAACAATAAGGAGGGAAGTTAGGATAGATGCAAAATCAGAGGAAGATCCCAATTTGACTCGGGTTGGGCCATTCAAGAAGGTGGGTGGAATTTTTCTTTCAGTACTCGAATCATATCCCATCTCAACTCCCAGTGAAGAAAAGAAAGAAAGGCTAGGTGGTGTACTGGTTACACATCCTCCCTATCTTGCGCGGCATCTTTACATCAGGGGAAGTACTGTTGGATGGTATATGTTTTCTCCATATCTGAATATTTTAAATTCCTGCACACCAGACTTGTCTGAAGCCGAGGAAAAGGAAGAATGGCCCAGTGGTGTAGTGGTAACATGTCCTCTTGCTTTACTTCACAACTGGTATGTAGCCAGAGGAAGCACCCTGTTTGATTCAGGGCTGGGCCATTCCCATCGATGTGTGGTTTTTTTTCTTCTCCAAATCTCCAAATCTCAAGATTTAAATGCCTACACAGCAGACTTATCTAGAACTGAGGAAGAGAGAAGCATGGCCTGGTGGTGTACTGGTAATATGTCCTCCCTCTTTATACATCCAGACAAAATTGGGGGAAGCACTCTGTTTGAAATGGGGCTGGGCCATGAGTGGTTCTGCCGCTTTTTTTTTCTCATCACACAACTGCTGTAATTTATTCTCGTACTACCAGCCAACTTAACTTTGGACTCTGGAATCAAATAGGAAGGCCCAGTGGTGTACTGGTAACACATCCTCTTTATCTGCATAGCAAAAGCACAGGTCAGAGGAAGCCCCCTGTTCGATTCGGGGCTGGGCCATCAACCATTTCATCCATAAATTTCTTTTCTCTTTTCTTTTCTTTCATCTTCTCCTGCATCTCTCTTTTTCCTTTCTCTGAAACGTTCTCCTCCAAGTCAAATCCTTCCCCATCTACCTGAGTCCGCTGCAAATTGACACCTACAGGATCAAACAATGTTGAACTCGAACTTGAACTTGAACATAGATCATGTGTCCTGGGTTGAATTTCTACGGAATTCGAAGAAGCCACCGGAGAGCGGAGGTAGTCGGAGGATTTATTTTCGGTGAAGGAAGAATGTACCGTAGTAGGCAGTGGCTTGTTCTGAATTTGAATTCTGACAGGCGCGGCATTTAATTATTCGGAACAACAACTTGGAGTTGAAGTTGAGTCCAATCTGCCAGCGTGCATAACGTAGATTGTTAGGGCTTTAAGTACGGAAACAATTTTCCCAACTCAATCACACCGAGGTAGACGGTTTTGCGGGACATGTCCATGAGGATGTGATTTGAGATCGATTCTGGGCTTACTCGAGTTCCACAAGGGCCTACAATCTGATTAAATCGGGGAGACAAAAAGAAGCTTTCCACCCAAGAAGTGAGTACACTGTGCTTGAAATTCCTGGGTGGGCATGCATCTGACATTCAGTACGCACAAGTGGTCAGTGGGAGCAGTAAGCGTGTCAGTGCTCACCGCTGCCGTTGAGGGAATAGCTATTGACACCGTCATTTTTCAGACTCAGTCTGCTGTCCCTGTTTTGATTTCGATTTGCCATAAAGTTGAACACCGATCACATGTGTACGGTTGGATTATCTTTACTCTCCGGCATTGCCAACTCAGCCTACTGGTTGTCGTTCAATGAATTCAGACAAATATGTACTCGATGCACACCTAATACTCGGCAGAACTGTGAATGCTCTAGGGTAAAAAAGTGGTTCACAAGGGCCCGGATAGTCGTGCAGTCTTTTGTGCCACTGATGGCTCATTTAATCGTCGGCTTTGCCCCCCGAGGTGAGCTTGACGTTGAAGTCATGGTTTTTTGGAGGGATAAGGTAAGGAGTACAGACCGCATCGTCCTGGCAAGCGCTAGTTTCACAGTGCATTTTTTATGCCCAGACTGGGAACGAAGGAACTGGTATCCATCCAAAGCTATACCAGAAAGGGGACGGTCACGCACTTATGATTTCCGACTTTAGGTCCTCAGGCTTTGATTTCGGTTATTCTCCCACATCACTCGATGGAAAGAGGACTCCCGCGCGCCGATTTTTGAAGCCCAGGTTGAAAAATCACGAAAGGCACTTTGCCAACAAGGACGTGCTCGAGCAAGCTAATGAGCTCACGGGTATCCTCGACGAGGTTTACATGTACCCGACTATGAGCATGTGCTTGTTTACAACAACGCGACAACCCACCGCAAACGCCCTGACGGATCACTATGTATCTGCGCGCTTGATGCCCAAGTTCATGTCCGAGCATGCGATGAATTTCGGGGTGTTAATGTTACCGCTTCCGAGTCGCGACGCACACGGTAAACCCCTCTACACAAAGACGGTGAGAATTCAGAGGACCTGGGTCGAATTCAACGGTAAACCCCAGTCACTCTAATACCCCGAAAAGCAACCCCTAGAAGGCCTGTTCAAAGGTATTGCCGTGATTCTGTCAGTGGAGGAGCGGGGCCTTGAAGAGTAAGTCAAGAAACCGGCGAGTGCAGAGGCTTCAAATGTGTCTCTCCGGCCTTTGATTGCTGCTGCCGCCGCATTCTTTTCGAGCTGAAGTTCAACCCTCCGGACTTCGTGAAGCTTGAATGGATCTATCGTTTTTTCTCCGAATCTTCTCGGGAAGACGACTTGGAACGGAACGCTGGGAAGCGTTGGCCGCCGTTCCGCTTCCTATGATGCAACGGTAAGTTATCCGACAGAGTGTACATTCATCAATCTGATTGTTTCAGATTTGCCAACCGCTCACGAAAGTTTGTTGACGCCTACGCGAATGGCTTGAATAGACGACAGGCTGCATGGGCTGCCCGCAGATACCGTGGTCATCACATTGTCCCCGGATCTATCTTGGACAAACTCGAATCGGTTGGAATCATATAATAGAGGTGCTTTTCATTGTGTATAATTATTTCTCTTGTTGTCTTGTTGTATCACGTAGTTTGTACATGCGTAGCACGCCCAAGATGTTCGTTCAAGATTGATCAGTCACTTTGTAATGAGAATTCCTCACTCACTTGAGTCACTGGAGCAGTACAAATTGAGGCCTCGCATCAAAATTTCCAAATGATATCATGGAAGGGCATCATGCAGAGACGTCCGTCGGCACGACGAGCACATTACCCGGGCCCACCACGCCACGCCGACGAAAACGCCGGCAGGCACATCAGCAAACCCTGGGTGTGCTACCTAGGTCTACATAGTTCCCATAGTTGCCATAGCTCCTGTATTTACCATAGGAAGGGTACCCTCTACATAGTTCTCCATAGTTTGGTGGGAGTGCTACATAGTTCTCCATAGTTTTCAGCAATACTACATAGTTCTGTGTAGTTTGGTGGTTTGCGAAGCTTTGAATAAAATATGACTAGAAAATAAACTGTGGTCTCTTCCATTTCATTAGACTGATGATGTTAAGTACTATTATCCTAATCCTAGGAAAGGCATCTAATCTAAGGTAGATACGACTATTAGAGAAGCTCACAAATAAAGTGACTCCTGCGTGAGTCGAACCGGCAACCACCAGGACATAATGTAAGAGTGCAGCATAACCACTGAGCCACACAACCATTAAAGCATTGGGTAGGCTGTTCAATATAAGGGGTCACCTCCCTCTCAAAAACAACTGTCTGCTCCCTGATACAACTTCGGTAACATCGTCATATAGATAGTGATAAGTTCCAAACTAAAGTACCAAAACTCACAAAGCTCCACAAAGTCATCTAGCAATTTCCCTCTTTATTCAGCTGTAAAACACAAAATAAATTCATAGAGCTATTCTGAACACCATAGAGACAGATGAGCTGGACTATGAATATTTTTGTGAAGAATCTTGGTTATGTATCAAAGAGCTCTTCTTTGCTCTATCTCAATGAAGTACTGTGGCTTTTTGAAATCTAATTGTGTATCTGAAATGCCTTGTGGCTCAGGTGCCTACAGGAATTGAAAAACTATGTGAAACTTCAAAAAACTATGTGAAACTATGCAGCTTGGTGGCAAAACTATGTACAACTATGGAGCTTGGCTGCAAAACTATGTACAACTATGTAGCTTTGACTGGAACTACAGAGTCCTATGGCAACTATGGCAACTACAGCCAACTATGGCCAACTATGGTCAAATCCAGGGTTTGCTGATGCAGCCCGGCGCCGACATTGCCACATACATGCAAACACCTTGCCAGGCTCTCATCTGCGCAAAAGTGCATGAGGCAATGCGCAAAGAGGGCAAAGGCGGGGGCTTGTGGGGTGTGGATGAATCGGTGTTAGCTGGGTGCTTTAATGGCGGGAGAGGAGAGGCAGGGGGAAAGGGAGGAGAAGGAGGAGAAGGAAGGGGAGGAGGGGAGGAGGCTGACAAGAATAGAATAGAATGAATGTAAAAGTTCAAGAGAAGAAGATGAAATATGACCAGGTGGCTGACCGACACGGAACCGCCCAATACCCGAGCAGCTGAATAATAATTCAACTTTTGAACATGATCACGTGCCGGTTGAATTTACCCTACCGTTACGCGGCCACAGTTCAACAATAGCGTGTCATACTAAGATACACTCCACCAATTGCATTTTTGGGTAGCATAAGTCGTCTCATGGTTCGGGATATTGGTGGGAACTCGTGGGTGGGGATCAAATCGGTGGGGACTCGTAGGTTCGGACCAAGCCCCTTCGAGATCACATGTTATTCACGTGCAAGCAGGGAATTCTGAGAAGGGGCTTGATCCAAGATGTAAAAATAGTGGCACTCGTTCTGCGCGTCCTCCCGTGTCGAGAACCGCGTCAATCGATTTGGACTTTTGATATAAATCGTTCACAAGAACCCCCCGGATAACCTGCCCTACTCAGATTTCCATTCCGGATCCAAGTGACGCCGAAACATCTTCGTCAATGATCACATCTTGAGGCGAGTGCACGAAAACAAAACTACTCGCAGAATGTTTTTACAAGCCTTGAAGTGATTCTGAGTTGACATAAGTCGAGCCCACATGCCCTTCGACATCTCAGGGCTTTAGTCTACATAACTATGTGCAGAAATGAGGTCGTCCCATGAAGGCGAAGAATGTCCCGATTTGGGGAAATTTTGCTGCTTAGTCAGACGCGCGACGCGTCTCCGCCACCGCCTTCCTCCTTCATCCCGAGCACATATAGGTATCAAGTGGCTCTAGGATGTCCACAAGGCCCACCCCGACCCCTCACTCCCCTCAGACCCCCCGCCGCCACCCATTCTCCCCCGTTGCACCACGCACACCTGGAACTCCTCGCCGGCACCTCCCTCCGCGAGCCAATCGTCTTCAGGGCATTAAACCGTGGCCACACACGGTCGATGCGACACGGCGCATGGTAATGCTGAAACTGAAGCTGTCTTACACGCCCGATGACTGGCAAATTCACCTCATTATACGTATCCTTCGTGGCTTCGACTCCATATTTCTGGCCGGCACTGGTTACGGAAAAAGCTTGATTTTCGAGGCGGTTGCAGTTCTAGGGGGGAAGAAGAAAGTGACGATTATTATCTGCCCTCTTAAAGCACTTGAAGCGGACCAGGTACGTACATTCATGCATCATGCGGCGCCAGACTAAAAAAATGCTTCCCCCGTCTTTTCAGGTCAAGCAAGCTAACGAGAAGGGGATCAGTGCCATCTTAGTCAATGAGGACAACACCAGTGACCCCGCAGTGTGGAAGAAGGCGGAGAAGAGCGCCCAGCTCGTGTATATCTCTCCGGAGATGGCCCTTTCCGACTCTTTCGGGCGACTCTGGATGGATTCAAAGTTTCGGCGCCGCGTGAACGCTTTGATCGTCGATGAAGCTCACTGCAT